AATGCAATTTAACACAATGGCAGGAAGCAGACTCTTCTATTCCAGGAAGAAACACGGGTAGCAGAGGTGGGGCAGGATCTTGTCAGAAGGGGTGGGCCCCATGGTGGCAGTCTTCCCAGAGACTCCAGTGGTGATGGAGGGGTGGCATCAGCAGGCAGTGGGGATAGCAGCTGTGGCTGCACGGGTAGCAGCAGGCAGCACAGGGAAAGTAGGGGAGCCTGCACTGCTGAGGAGGGATTGGCGTGGCTGGCTGCGGGATGCTGTGAGCTATGCCACGGGCCTCACGTGCACAAGAATGAGGGTTTCAAGAACCAGGATTCTGGGAGTTTGAGTAGCAGGGATTGTATCCAGAGGTTACTGCTTGGACAATTATTCATGTCATCTACCTCTCCATCCAAGCAGGATCTAAGAAACATGGTTAGATAAACACGGCCAGATTCCAACTGAGACTCTTCAATAAGGGAGGGTTTCAGGGGTTCTCACCCCAGTTCTCTTCATTTAGTACTAGAGAAAGGAAAACTGTTTGAACTGGAACTATTTACACTAAAGATTTTGAGAAAGACATAGCTTTCTCCCAAAGTTCACTTTTATATGGCAAAAAGAGATCGCACACTGATCCAAAGGCTTGGCTAGAAATTAGCGAATAAGGAATCTGTCTTATAACTCAAAGAGGTCGAACTTCAGTTTTCCCTGAAAGAACCTCCTGGATGCAACTTAGCAGGTGTCTCAGCTCCCTAAGAATGGAGAACTTTTAGATAGTCCCTGAGTACCTATCAAGTGTAATAACATTTAGGTTTTTATGTGTAACAGAAATTCACCAAATGGAAAATGTCCACCGATTACACTTTCCACATATGTTCTTTTAGTGCCTAATATGCCAATCTGAAATTATTCCCAGCTCATAGACCCTATCCACTGATAACCCTCTGTTCTCATTGCCATCAAAAAAACAAAAATGGATTGGAAAATCAGTGGACCTCCTGTCTTACTCCCTTTCCTGTCCCCGTGGCAGAAGTCACGAGTAGATGATGGCACATTTTTCTTGTATAGTGAGGGTATGACCTCAGAACCCATCATCAGGTATTTACTCAGCCTCTATTATGTGCCAGGCACCCCAGGCAGACACTATGCATCCATGTTAGAGTTGGCAAATGACATGAAACCAGTTTCACAGTTCAGATACAGAGCCTACATTCAATTTTACTTTTCTTAGACCTTGTGTGACTAACACAATCTAGCTTGTTAGTCTCCCATCACCACTCTCTTTCTGTTGAGCTGTAACAGGAAGCCCCTCACACGAAAAAGGGCTCAGTCATGAACATATTGAATTATTCAATACTGTTAGTATATTCCTAAAAGTCAAAAGGCAAGTGAGGGGATGCATTTTGTGACTCAGTGAGAACGCAAAACTTACTGATTTATAGTCTACCTTTTGCATATAATTACAGTGATCTCTAAACAAAAAGTTGCTACCTATTAACCTCCTAATGGGCTTAAATGTAATTGCTTCTGACACCTAAGCTATGAAAAATGAATTCTTCTTTTCAAGCCATAACTTTGGAGTTCTTTGGCACACAACATGAAAACATTTTCCCTCTGATTTTGATTAGATACTTTGGCAATAAGCCTTCATAAGTCACTTAAATTCTGCCAAAGTGCTTGAGGCCTCTTTGGATGCCTGATCTCAAGGTGACTGTCTCTCAAATTTTATGTATCATATGTACTTTTCAAATGACCCAGTGATTTTTTCTAAAAGCTAGAAATAAAAATGTTAGTGTCAAAATGCCCCCCCTTCTAAAATTTTAGGATACTAATGCTCAAGACTATTCCTTTAGCAAAATGACAACTATTGACATGATCATTATCCAATAATAACAGTTTTAAATTTATGCAGAGGACAAAATTAATAAGGTATTTCCATTTTGTGGTGGAGACTATTTCTAAAATGATGGGATATGTATTGGTGAAATAAATATTGTCAAATAACACAACTATCTGGTTATGCATCACAATGAGTATTAAACAAACCTTCCACAGTGGTAAATAAGGAGAATATACTTGAGAACTAGGTGTCTCAGACTGGAGACAACCAAAAATGTTGGATTATTGTAGGCAGCTCACATACTATTTTGTGGTTATTGGGAAAACAGTGGTATCTGTAAAATGATTTTAAAATTCATGTTTTATTATTTGCAATCTTTTTTTAAAATTAACTTTGAAATTAACTGATTTCTATTATTAGAGAGTCCAAAACTATAAACAAATGCATGGCATTGCTAGCAAGCATTTGATATTATTGTAAGACTTTCAACATCTAGGCTTAATATTTGTCGGTGAAATATTGAGCCTCAACACTATTGAGGCTGGGTTGACTTGGTTTCTTGTGGATTAACTGTATAAGAGCTTCTTTCTTTGGTGAAGGGCATTAAATAAAACATTTAAATACTGGTGCACTGTTCAACTCCAAGGACTCTCTCAATGCTCACCCAGATTTTCCTTAGCTTTTGTTCTCTGAAAAGCTTAATTTTTTGGCTTATGGAAGATGTATGAATTTATGATCATAATAACTTTATATTAGAAGTGTGTCTTTAAAATTTTATGACTTTTCCCTGAGACTTCTCGTGAGATTCTCCCCTCCCCCCAGCACATTTGAGAAAAGAGGACTGGTAATTTTAAAATGTTGCATTTTCCATAGCATCCTATCAGTATACTTAAAGGAAAGCGGGGAGGCCAGGTCAGGTGTTCTTCCTACATCATTTCTCATGACGCCAGGACTGTCCGCTGCCTCCACAGGGAGGAAGAGAATGGTGGCTTAGGGGCTTTGCCTCACGTCAGCATCCCTGGATGTTATCATGGGAACCTGCAAGTGGTTCTACACAATTTCCACAGGGCAATAGCAAATTGCTGTTGAACACAAGGAGGATCCACAAGTGACTGAGGAGGGAATCACATAGCTAGTCCACTTTCAAATTGATGACCTCTTCAGTGCTATCATTGTGACATGAAGAGTTGAAAAAATACATATCATGTCTAGTCATAACAGGAACATTTTATTTAATATTTCTTTTCATTTTTTCTTTCAGTTCATTGTGTCCTCTGGATGTGAATATGCACTGTCAAACCTTTGATCCCAATGATCCTCAAATATGAAAGGAGGGACAATTTTTATAATATGGATATTTTAATTTTCTAGAGGAGTGCTGGAAACTAAAAACCCATGAAGTTAGGGGATAAGATCAGCTTCAGCTTTAGAAAAGAGATTGGCTGATATTTATTCAAAGATTTTTAAGTGAACCTTCACAACAGAGTGTGAAACCGATAATGTATATCTGGAGCTTAAGGTTGATTTTGTTTTCTTCCTGGAGCATGTGTGTGTGTGAGTGCCCATGTGTATACATTGGCTTAAACAATATGGCCATCACCTGTAAGGTGCAAATTTCCCAGAAAATTATAAACTCTTTGGTTTTTTTTTGTTTGTTTGTTTTCGTTGTTTTTTACTATGGCTGGTCTTTCCATTTATTCAGGTGTCACACAGTTTCACTTAGAGGGTGTTGATGACTGAACATATGGAGGGTAAAGGGAACAATACATCAAATTGTGGGCAAAGTCACATCTTATTTTCTCAAGTTACACATATTCTTATAGTTATCTTGTGCCTTGGTGTTTACAGTTTTCCATGCAGTTTAAAAAACAAACAAACAAAAACAAAAAAAAGGGAAAAGATAGAGTTTATGTTCTTTTCCTTCACCAGCATTTAAACATTAGGATTTGTCTTAATATCCTTCTATAAAATATTTGAAACAGTAGGGAGTTGGATGCTTAGCTTTCATTACTCTTGTTCAAGAAAATACTTAAAGTGTGCTTAAAGTGTGACTTGCCATCTGTATTTCTTCTCTGCTTAGATTTTAAGATGACATCTTTTTTGTGTTTTTATTTTTAAAATTCAGAAGGAATTAATGACCAAGTTTTTACAAAGCACCTGAATCCTCCATTGATTCAACAACAGAAAACATCTGGGTAACAAGTGTTTTACACTACGGGATCACAAGAGTTTGAATTTAGGTTTAAGTACAAAACGTGCCAAATCAGTTTTACTCATTTCTTGTTATTCCTAATCTGTAAATTGTTCTCCTTATATTATAGAAAATGCTCAGATTGGATTCACATCTTGTTATATAGCTTTTAGTAAGTTAACAAAATACACTGGGCAGGATACATTGGTAATCATTTACCTTCAACAATTGATAGAGGAAAAAATGTAATGTTCAAGGACATTAATCTCATGTCCATTCTTCTTTTTCAAACCATTTTTTAATCCTCTGGAAAGTCCTTTAGTCAAGGTACCCTTTCACTAGGATGACAGAAAATATTAAGTTACGCATAAAAAAAAAATTATCAACAGATTCATTTTCCTTTTACTTTTGATTGTGAGGAGATTTAGAAGTTAGGTTAAAGTAAGCGAAATTTTCCAATGCAGGGGCCCTATCTTGCCTGTTTTTTTCACATCAAATTGTGGGTTTGGAACAGATTCCTAATATCCTAAAAAGCATTTCCTTGGAAGCTACTTACCTATCTCCGACACATTCTTCTAAACCATGGCTGGATGCTGTGGGTGTGACTGACATTTAGAGGCAAAACAAAAAAAGACGATAAAGCAAAAAAGTCATAAAGTTAAAAAGAGTAATCATGTTTTCCCCTGGCATTTTTTAATGGTCAGAATTTATAATGTCAAATTGTATCAGAATGAAAACACGAAAACATGAGATCAGTGTGTGGGGAAGCAATTTGGAACTTGAAGACAGTTTTTAATGGAATGCATTTGACAAGCAGCCTCCATCTTTATTGACTACATTTGAGTATGGTCTGGTTTATGAATCCCCAATCCCTAAGAAAATAATTTTAAACAAATTGTGGGACATGTGTACACAAATTAATGACTTGGCTCTGGCATGGAAGAATGGTCTCTCCGAAAGAATAAAATCCTAGTGGTTATAAATGGGTCAAAAAGAATTAGATTTTTTTATTTATACTTCAGAAATGTAATCAAGTGAATGAAATGGTTTCATATACATTTTTACATCCAACAGCAGTGACACACTGTTCATACATTAATTCTATAGTAAAATGTACATCCTTCTTTTTTGCTAAGATATGCCAAGTGTTCATGGACAAAAAAAACCTTTCATTGCAACCTGAACTAGTGAAATAACAAGGGTAAGCCATGTTCCTTTCAATAGCTTTATAGACTTAATAAAGCTATTGTCCAAATGTGTGTTAATACTGGCATCTGTAAGATGAAGTCTCAAAATTCTCAAAAATGTAAATGTTCAACTTGAAAACTTTACAAAATATTGTATTGGATTTTGCGACTGAATCTGCCCAGGGACATTAAAGTCCAGGATGGTTTATTTAAGTGTACTTCTGTAGCTCTATTCCTAGCTGACTATTCTTCGATTCCCTAATCACAAAGAAATGCATTCTTATGAAGTTAAGCAGCTGTAGACACAGAATGCTGATGACATTTTCTCCATATCTGAGTTATCTAAAGAAAACCCAGTTAGTGGTAATTCTACCAAATACTTGTAACATTCACATAAAATTTTAATTGATTTTCAAATAGTACAACTGTGCCACGAATCCAACCACATAGAATATAAGCCTTAAGCCCACTAGGTTTAAGCAATTGTGTCTTTGTAGACTAAAACTATGTAAAATAAAATCTGATAACTCCCTGGTGTTAGAGGTAGACAGTTTTCTTTCAAATCCTAGGTTTGGTCCTTTATTTTATTCAGCAGTGAAAGCCATGAATACAGAACGAATAACAGCTGTTACAATTCTCAACCATGACTTCTAACGTCAGAGAATTCAAAGTATGAACATAGTACACAGTAATGAAAAGTATCAAAAATTAGTTTACCTCAAAAAAGATAAATAAAACAGGTATATTCCACCAATACATAAACAGATGTTTGTGCTACAGTTTAAAATTTGCTGTATACAAAAGATCATAGTCCCCATAATCAGCTTATGAGAGAAGCAAGAATACATGAGCCATTTAAATTGTCAGACATTATGCTTTATAAGGTATGCACAGAAGTTCAAGCAATAAATACATACATTAGTTCAAAGCCTTACAATAGCTACGCAAAGCAGATGCAGAAAAGCAGATTTGCTATTACTAGCAAGCAATGATATAAGAGTAAAAATTCATGAAATGCATTAAAGCAACATTTTTCTTAGAAAAAGTCTGGTCATTTATGGGTCCACCAACATTTTTACATAATATGCACAATTATCAAAATACAGACCAAGCATTTCAGAAAACTCCAAAAAACCTAAAATCTATTTTCAAAGCAATTGCAGTTTTGGAGGTTTTTCTGGTATAATGTGCAAGCAGCTATTTTTTAAAATTGTATTCATATAAAACCCATGCAAAACTCTACAGGTATATGCATTCTGTGGCTGAGACTTCCTTTCAAAAGTTTTCTAACTGAGGTATGCATACTTTAGCATTGTAGTCTTAGGCCACCCTCCTGATGGTACAACTCTCGCAGTTACTTCCAGTCCATCATAGCCTTTTGAACATGCACCTGAAAAGACCCATTTTTCCTTTCAGATAATCCTTACAGTAGGATCGTAGATGACTGAAAACCATCTTTCACCATACCCATCTTTCTTTTAATACCATATTGTAAACTTCCGGTTCATTGATCATGACCCAAAGACAAATATAATGAAAAGTAGCAGTTACTGTGACGTTCTCACGTTTCATGCAATCTGCCATAATTGTTCTAATTTTTTTCTTTTTTTTTTTTTCTTTTTTTTTTTTTTTGCAGAGGTAGAAGCTTTCAGAAAGCCTTTTGGGTAAGTGGGAAAACCCTTTTGAAAGCCGTTATGTCCTTTTATTTGGTGTGATAGATGACTGGGTATCTCTCTAACTCTATTTGCTGACTTCAGCAAAGAATCAATGATGAGCTTAGTTTGCAAGAACCGGTTCCATCACATGGAACTGGTACATATGTTAAGCTCTAGCAGCCACCTTCTGTCAAAACTGTTTGTAAAGCAATAACCATAATCAGGTTATGAGGTCCCTTGGTTGGGGGAAAAAGTATTATCAAGACTTGGCACAGCACATGAAAAGCAACACGTTAAGTTTCTAGGTTTTAAGCAAACATCTGACTATGCTATTTTCAACTACACCATTACTCAGTATCATAGTTTTGGGGTTTGGAGTTGTCAAGAAAACCAGCATTCCAACAATTTGGCCTGTGCAAGTCTTTGAAGGGAGTGTATTGTTAGTGTTAATATCCCGTATAAGCAGAGGCAGAATTATATGTAACTTTGGTTTGACTGAAAATAAATACCATGGACTACAATTGCTATAATCTTTGCTTTCAGTGTAAAAACCCAGCTAGATCACTTTAAAATCAATATGAAATTAATTTTTGGCTTTACTAGACCTTTTATGTTTGGTTCCTACTTTTTGTTTTTTCATTATAA